CGCGCTCGTCACCGATCCACCCTCGGCGCCCAGGGGATGGGTCTCTCGTGGGGTCACACGCCGACCTCTCCCAATAAACTCTGGCAAAGACCTCTTTCATTCCACCTGCTTTACCCCCTAACTTCTTACGTTGACATCTGGTGGCCAGTGGTGGATGAACTTCACAATGTCGAATGTTCCTGTTACCAAATAAGCTCCTGCTGAAGTGCCTCCTCACCTCCCTTAATGCCCTGCCGTTGCTAGCAAGTCCTCTTCTGATCCACACCTACCCACACCATTCCTGCCCCACTACATTCTGACTACTCACACCTGTGCTTCCCTCCCGATAAAGTCGCTGAAGAAGCATCCTCATACTTTACACTGCCACATTTGCCAATCCGGCTCACTTGCCTTACTTAACCTTCCTGAACCCTCTTCAGCACAGCCATGAAGTCGCACTTCTATCTTACACCACAGATACTTCGCCGCCACTATTAAAATTAAGTATACCTATTTTGTGCTGGATTAACTATTACACTCCCTAAACCCGCTCACACCTGACATATAAGATGCCTTTTCTTAAGGAACACACTACTACTAACTCTATATAACAAAACTTCTTACTGTTAATTATTGTTTTAACTACACAAATAAACAAACAAAAAAACGTCACACACTCGGAACAAACTCTGCCTTAACCATTCTTTAATCGATGCAATATTGTTGTGTTATTGTTTTTGTACCAAGGGCCATTCCTTTGACTTATAACCTAATTTAACTCATTTTCATGACGTCCTCTCAAGTTTGATATCTTGTCCTTAGTAATGCTGGAATTTATGCTTCTTCAGTTTCAAGGTATTGGTGATTATGTAACATGTGACTAACTGATAGAGTCAATTCTGTTGCAATAAAGGTAATATGCACTGCAGACATCATGCTCTATATAGGTTTACTTAGTTATTATCACCGCAAGTCAATTCTAAGCTGGCTCATGGTCGTAAAAACTTGAATCACGCCCATCGCATGTAAAGTCTACAATGAAAGAATTGCACCCAACCGCACGGAGAGTCTACTATGATGGAATTGCGCTCTGTCGCATGTTTTATTTGCACACACGTTCGTACAGCGCTGACGAGTAGTGCCCGAGATGCACATGGTTTACATTAAGGTCAAGTCCAGCTGCCTATGTCTGTCCAAAACATAATTACTCGCCTATTTAGCCCTAAGATTGTTCCTCTACCAAATGATTATACTCTACTTGCTAATCCTAATAACTAAATAATTAACACATGTGACATGCCACCATTCTCGGGACAAATGCTCTTATTACGCTCTCATCCTTTCAGCATCTTAGTAACGTTACTGACACGTAACTTATCATCCTTCTTAGCCCTTTTACTGCCTGGCACATTTATATTTCAGTCTCCCTGAAGACAGTGTGACCCTTTGCTACTAAATGTTACACTTCCACCACGCTCCTACTATGTCAAGCAACGACCTTAGGACCATGGATCACCATGAATCATCTGTAGAAGCCTAGCAGAGCTTGCCACAAGATACGCCATCATTGCATAAGACATTGCAGATGACTCAAGGACGAGCCTTTTGCGTGGCCGAGCGATGTCAACGATTTAATTAAGGCTGGATGGTTCCTCATTAGCACCTAGGCCCGGCAGCTGCCTTCCTCATTCAGCGGATGCAGGTGTTCCCTCTACTTTCTCTTTTGACACTTCCACGACCTAAGCAAGCAAATGCCCTTGCAAGGAATAGCTGCATAAAAGGATGTCTCTTCAGAGAGTGGAGGCAGAACAAGAGGAGGTGCAAAGCAGAACAGGTAGAGACAGGGACATGCGACGTTCTTGTTCATTTATGCCCCAACCCTTTACGTTGACGTTATATATATATATATATATATATATATATTATATATATATATATATATATATATATGTATTATATATATGTATATATATATATATATATATATATATATATATATATATATATATATATATATATATATATATAGCGTTTGTTGAGCAGTCACTCATTCGAGTGCAGAACTTGGGCCTCTCTCAATTCATAATTAAGAGGTTATTTGGCAGCACTACCATTGCTTGAATGGATGTCCCATCTAATCAACTGCAGTTCAGCACGTTGTCATTTGTGACACAGAAGCGATTTCCCCGACGACAGCTGCGTTTTGATCTCTCAAGGCGATATGTCGCTTTTTGCCCTGAGATCGGGCTTTAACCTACAGTCGGAGCGAGCATTTTAACAATTGTCGCGGCGGGGAACTGACTTCCATTATATCATATATATATATATATATTATATATATTATATATATAATATATATATATATATATATGTGTGTGTGTGTGTGTGTGTGTGTGTGTTTTATACATTTGTATAGATAAGTCATATAAATACATACATATATATAAGTAAATATACGAGTTATAGATACACACACACACACACATATATAGTATGAGTGTGTTTATATATTGCAAACACA